TTTTTTTTTTTTTTTTTTTTTTTGAGTGAAAATTCGTAACAAGTTTTAGTAAAGATTTTTCTGCTGTTACTTCGTTTAAAACTATAATATTTTTATTTGGTAGTGTTCTTGGTGCAGCTCAAACCGAAGAAATTAGGAAAAATTCGGCAGTGGTTGTTACAATGGATGACAGTGAATCAACGGTAAGGTTTAAATTTTGACTGTATGTATTTTGGTCGATAAGCCTTTTGTTCGATTTTTTTGAACATTATTGTCTTTAAAAAAAAAATTAGCGCTGTTTAATCGGCAAAATATAATTAGGTGAAAACAATTTAAATCTTGATAAAATTTTAGTAAATTAACAGAAATAATATTTTTTTTTCTGCTTTTCAGTCATCCACAGTTTACTTGGAATATTATTTTACGACAACAATTGGTTGCACTTTTGATTTTTCAAATTTTCCTTACGACAAACAAGAGTGTCCGTTGGTGATCGTTCCAACACTGCGAATGAATGGTATTGTGTTAAGAAGTGTAGCTGAAAACATGGCTTTTAGTTTATTTGGTAAAATTTATTCTTTTTCTTTTTTAAAAAACATTATTTAGATAACTATTTAAATTTCTGAAGATAATTTTTACAAAAAAGGAGTTCCTAATATGTGGAAAAAAATATTGATATTCCTAATTTTTAGGTGCAAATAATTTACAAGAAAAATCAATTGTTAGCAGTTGGCAAGTAAATAGGATTTGGTCTGATCTACAACTCTATGATGGTTCTAGTAACCAAGAATCAGTATGGGAAACGATAAAAACTCTTAATATTACTAGAACTCCAATAGACCGTTACTGGTGGGTTTTATACCTTTTATCCGTCCTTTTAGGCAAATTTTCCTGGTTTTAATTAATAGCTAAAAATCAGTCACATTATCGCTTTGCATTGTGAATACAAATTTGTACCAAAAAATCCTGGCGATAGCTTGAAATTTCATTCTTATGGTTTGTTTTCTGAAGAAGCATCTCAGAATTTACAACAATGTTTCATGGGAAAAGTTTTTTTCGCCTGACTGCTGTGCACTAAACATTTCTTCAAGAAGCAACTTACAAATTTACCATCAAAAGTTTCCTTTACTTCACTAATTTGTGATCCAGAAAACCTAACAAACACATTCTATAGTTTTAAAAATGTAAAAAGAGTGTAAATAACACGAACTGTTTCTACTTTCACTTTAAACATAAAAGTTAATTTTTGCTAAAGATAACAAATACTACCTGAAAAAAAATTACTATAAGTGTATAAATTAAATGAACATCCCTTCTTTCTGTCATTTTCTGATTTTAACCGTTCAAGAGCACCATTTCAAATTTCGAGTTTCAAGCAGATTTAACCCATGTTTATGAGTTAGAAAATGAGAAGTTGAGGGTATTTTTACAACAACTGAATGATCTGCATATTGTTTTTTGTAATCGCTCTAATTATGATTGGTGATTACTATAACCAACAAAAAAAATATCCTTACTTTTTTAATTTGCGATTCTGTCGTTGAATGTGGACCGAAGACTGGTTACAAGTTACATTACTTTTAGGACCGCAGAGTTAAAATGGCTAATGCTGCAACGATTTCAGCCATACTTCGGTGTTACACTGATACTACCAGCTGTAGTGGCATTTTTGATTTGTATATTTTCAACACTACTTTCATCTCCATCGGTTGCTATATCAGTATTGCTTACCAATTTCCTCCTGATCTCATTGTTTTTTGAAGATCTTCATAGTGTCCTTCCACCAGCCATCGGCGGTGTACCAAAAATAGGTTCAAACTCTATATACGATTCGTACAAACCAAATTTTTTGAATTAAAAAAACGGCCAACTAATCAGTTTGAACATCTACCTCAATTACTTAATAAGTGGATATCATATGTAAAAATCAGTGTTACAAGTTTCCAAAATTATAGTATATTATATTGCCTTCACAATGGTATTAACGACAACTTCCGTTATCGTACAACTGTGCCTTCGCTTCATAGGTACTAGGAAAGAGCCGATACCCAAGTTATTGAAATATTTGTACTACGTACAAAAAATCTCGCCAATATCTCTGTACAGGAAGTTTACTGGCACCTTGGAAGGTATATATGCTTCCAACAACCAAATAACTCTCTTTTCCAAAACTACATCTAATGTAGCATTTGCTTTACGAATGAATTCTCTCCCACTACAAGTTTAGGCAGCTTTATCGCCATGCAACCGTGTCACTGAAAGTCTCAGTATAACTCTTGACTTTAATTTGCAGATCCGAACAATGAGAGCAAAGCCACAAGCTGGCAAACTGTGCGAAATCAACTTCAAATAATCTACTTCACATTTCTGCTTTTTACATTTTGCATCCTCACGTTGATATTACTATTTTAAACCGGCCTCTAAAGTTCCATGCAGCTGCTCCTCAATGGCCGTCAAACTCTAAACTTGAATGCAGCAAAACAGAAAGCCGACAAACGAAAGCACTTCCCAGAAACTTGTGCGACCTAATCATGTCTAAGGCAGATCGTCCGCTGCGCCTATCGAGTAAAAAAGACCAACCCTGCATTTTATGACAACAAAGGCTTTTGGAGGCTAAGCTTTGTTAACAGACTACAAGTAATTAATATTCAGAATTTTCAAGCTTCAAATAATTTAATGTGTAGAAAGGATGCTTGTCTAATAAATGAATTACTTTTGATTATCATGCGGAAGCAGGAGCATAGTAAACACCATTTAATTTGTTCAAGTCTATGTACAGACAATATCAAGTCATTCAGAACTGGAATCACTAGCATAGTCACATAAACTACTGAGGGCATTTGTTTGCTGCTTTTGTTCAACAGCAGTTCTTGTGCCACTTGGTTCTTCAATTTTTTGTTCCTCACATTCCTCAGTTTTTGGCTCAGATTTAATGATATTCCTTGCAGTCGTCTTCTTATCTTCACTGTTTTCAGTCTTTATCAAAATTGTCTTCTCATCTTCTTTATTTTCGACTTTTATCTCGAGCTTTTTCAGTGCTTGTGGAACATCTTCAACTTTTTTCCTCTTTGTAACCACAATCTTGGATAAAAGCTCCTTTTGGTTCGATAATACTGAACGTCTGTAGTGACCTCCGCCAGCTCCCTCTTTAGGCGTAATGGACTGCTGGAAAAGACTCTCCTTACTGTCATGAGGTTCGGATTCTTCCTCTTCCTTCACTTCACTTTTTACAGATTTTGAAGGTCCAGGTATAGATATATCATAATCCTCATCTTCATCCTTAATCCTTCTTATTATTTGGCCATCTTCAGTACGCCCATATAAAGACTTAATAAACTCTTCGTCTTTTTCCTCCTGCCTCCGAAGGGCCTAAAACTTTTACTGAATCGAACAGAATATTGCTCGGGGCTCTCTCAGTCACTCAAATGTCATGAGTATAAGAAGTTGGACAAATTTTTCGCCTATTTTTAAAGCACTTTTTCTAACGTGAACATTTTTTTTTGAAAACACAACTGCATTCACAACAAAAGTACCTGCGCTTGGGCCTCAGCCTGCAACTTTAAATATTCCTCACTTCCAACTGCTTCTTGCCTTCTTTTCAATTCTTGTATTTCCTCCAACTTCCCTAAAGTTCATACAAGGTACAGATTACTCAAAAAATCTTTGAATTTAGTTCAAAATTGATGAAAATACTTATTCGTGAAGGTACACAACTTGTTAAGTATTCAAAGTGGCATTGCAGTCCACAAATAAAAACTGACTCATTTCTTCCATTTCCGCACGACTCATTTTAGTTCGTTTCTCGAGCATTTTCATTGGGTCCTTTTTATCTTCTTCTTCTTGAGTCTCCTTTGCTTTCTCCTCCTGCTGGTAGAGTTTAAAGGCCTCAAACAATCGGGTGGCACCATGTTCTTGTTGATAATCACAGTTTTCCAAATCTGTTTTGAAAGTTATTTCAGCCAAACAATTTGGACATCTAAACTTAAGACATCTCAAAAAAGACCGATAAAACCATCAAAACGTACATTAAAAGTATATTGCGTAGTCAAGATAAAGAAGTCTTTGCAAAACAGAACAGATCTTTTTGAACAGTCTCAGCTTACCGGAAATAAAAACGGAATATTTTTAGACCAAGATAAAATTCTCCTTCAGCAGTTTCTCGCCTCATGTTGAACTTTTTTCCCTGAAAGGTACACACAGTTACAGAACAGCGTCAGTACTGCCAAAAGTCGACCACTCAAGAGACAGTGGAATTGTCTGATACTATGAAATAAAAGTAACAAATAGGTGAAAATGCTCAAACCTTATAGATATATTCATGACAAGTATTACACTGCATATTGTATGGCGCCATAACTCGTTGAATAAACTGTCTGTTGCGTTGCCCTTTCCCTCTGGGGATCTTTGACGGATCAAAATCCGGTGGATAGTATTTCTAAAACAATTATATTCTCCAGCTATTACAATACCAAAACTCGATACTAACGACACCAAGACTTGTCATGTTCGTGAATATCAGAATTAAAAGTGGAAGAAAATACTTCTGAAATTTTTGTTAATTTACCTGAAAAACCTTCCGTTCTGTTCCTGTCATCGTCTACCACTTACAACGTCCTGAGGGTAGTAAGATAAACCTAAGAAGTTGGAGAAAAAGGTAATTAATTAATAGAAGAATAAAGGCATAAAAAAAGGTCTCTTTCACTATCACCAAATTTTCAAAGAAAAACGAATGTTGGCGAAATGCCAATAGGAATATTTCGTTCCGAGGTTCAGCAACATTATGACTGAATTTTTGACGCCACTTACAACGAATGACCATTTCATCGATTCTTCGGGGCGTACGTTATCTGCCTGTTTGATGCGTTTCTTGTTCTGCTTTTACATTTTTACCGTAATTGTTTCACATTAAAACACAGTACTGGTAGCTGTTGCTAACTGTTGGGTTCCTTCTGATGGTTGATCAAGTGCTTTGATATATAAGAGATGATGAGGAACCTTATTGAATGGCTTTTTCGTTTTCACTTGGTGTTTTGGTTTAAGCATTTTAGACTCACTCAGGATTCCCTTTCACTCCGCGGAACTTCATCGAGCACCAACTAATCGGTAGACTGGCTTAGCGGATAAATGTAATTTTTGCACAACCTTAAAAGCAGCTATTTCTGGAATATTT